GATTTTAGATACCGTTTCAATTTAAATTGAGTGCACTTCTTATAAATGGAATGAATTTGCAGAAATACCATATTCTAAAGATATATTAGATAATAATATCCATAACGTAGTCTAATAGTAAACGAACTTCAAATAGGAAAGTGTTTAAACTCCATAGGCTTCATAAAAATGAATTTAGAGGGGTTTCCCTTGAAGTACAAAATTACATTGAATTATTCTTGTAAGAAGACTTTGATAAGCTTACTTATTGATCAAGTTAAAACAAGCAACAAAATGAAATAGATTTTATTTATGGCTGCCTCCTTCTGGGCCTATTTATCAGACCATTCGATGTAGTTCCAACACTGGTAAAAAAAAAATGGTAAATGTCACTATTTTACCATTGTTTCAATTATTTTTCCCAGCGAAATAGATCCTAACATGAAAATAGTAAAATCGTATATGGCGCATAGTTAATAATGTTTTAAATATTTTTATAGTAAATTCAAAGATTTTTGTATTTGATTTGACTATTTTTTTTATCCAGAATCTTGTAATAATAATTTACAAATTTGTTTTTTTTTTTCGAGTGAGCGCCTAAAATATTAACTTTAATTTTGAAATGCAGTTATTTATTGTCATTACAATCAAAAATATTACTGTGAACTTAAAAGAGCATTCTGCCTCGATAGGAAATAATATGGGCATGGCTCAGGGGTCAAGGGTTAGGTTTTGATACTATTTTGTGCTCGGGGGTACCAGGTTCAAGTCCCGCTGACACCACAACTTATTTTTTTTTTTTGTGATTAGTAATTCTTACAACTTTTTTAATACAATATTGTTCTTATAAATGTTAAGGAAATGTTTAATACGCTTCTTAAAAACTTTTTACTTACTCTGCCTCAGACGGTTTCGAACCGGGGTCCTCTCGCATCAGAGGTAGATGCCTTACCCATTGATCCATCGCACCATGTTACGCGCAAGTGGATAAGTTCAACTTAAATGTAAAGTTAACACGATCCATAACACATATAACTTTTTAAAACTAAAAATGCTACATTTCACTCATACATTTTATGGAAATTTAATTTAATATTATTTGAATCTTGACTTTCAAAATAATTGTGTCAAATAAACTTTTTATTCAAAATAAATTGCGAAAGTATTTAATCGGATCAGAAAAAACATTGATTATACTATGTATACACTCAGAAAATGAATCGCCCTGAATTTTAGAAAATCGCCTATGGATTTGCTTCACTGGCGATTTTTTTCTTTAAAATAAAAAAATTTTCTACTGGTAAAGAAAATTTTCTTCCAATTAATCAAAATTCATTAAATTCAAGAAATATTCCAGAAATATAGAAAAAAATCGCCAGTAAAGCAAATCCATAGGCGATTTTCTAAAATTTTTTTTTGAGTGTATAACTTACTATTTACAATACTAAAAACTACCATTGCGACTTTGGTTTTCAACATCAGTAATATCATTTCAAATATAATTCCCTTCGATTTTATTATTTTTATATTTGAATGAAGGTTTAAATATGCTTTTTTATTAAAATCAATGATTTATTTATTTGATTTAACTGTGAAAAGTAGTAACTGAAATCAACTAAAAAAATATTTGATTTTAATATATTTGCGTTTTTTTTACCAGTGAACCAAATGAACATGCAAGCTCTGATGTGTAATTTGTGTCTACCTGATAAAAGTCCCACATGCACCACACATACACCTTGCCCGATTCCATCTCCTCAACCTCTGACAAAGGGGGAGAACAGTTTGGGGGTGGAGAAACCGAACCGAACCAAATAGTAACAATAACAGGAACAACAAAGCCCAATAGACATAATCATAGCGTGAGAAATTCGTTACACTCCGGCAGATGGCCGCTGTCGCCGTCGCCGCTTAAAGGCCAAATGGAAGGCGACCAGGTCAGAACGGAACGGAGCAAGAACAGCACAGCCGAAGCGGGGAGATGGCCATGTTGATGGCGAAAGCGTTTTCATGCTTAACGGGCATTAAAAATGTTGCTGCAAAAACAAAAATACAACGAAAGTTTTCCGGGGGGAAGCTCCACGAAACGCCCATTTAAATGGGTGCAAAGATGGCCGAGGGAATGGGGATTTTTGGCACGCGGCTGGCATATGTTCACACCAACTTGCAAAGATGCGGAAGCTGCGCCGGAAAATGGTCGGGGTCGCATATTTGAGCAGCACCCGCATGAGGCACTCGAAAACTGCGAGTGCTACAAATTGCCCGACTTGGGTGGTATGTTGGTTCTGATTGGATATAGCCATTGAGGGAGGAGGGTGTCGGATGAGGATTCCGGTCCGGGCTTTGCTTTTGGTTTTCGGTTTATTTGTCCAAGGCAAATGGCGGGGCGCAGCGGGGTGGCAGCTGCAACAACAAACCGGGGGTTCCCGGCCACCAACATCAACCCTTTGCCGTATTTGTTTGCCCTGCGAGATGATGGGCCCGTAATGTGGTCGCTAATGGCATTTGCTCAGTTTTTGGCAACAATTTTAATTGTTTGGGCGGCGCTTGACTCTGTGCGATGGGAATTGTTGCAGTTTGAGTACCCCTTACTACATCGATTGCAACAGCAACTTTATTACTGCAATAAATATTTTGGGTCTGTGACAAGTGAATTTCAAATTTTTGACTAAGAAATACATTTGAAAACCTCGCACTTTGAAGTTTTTAATAAGTAGCCACTTAAAGTGAAAGTAAAGTGTCGTCCCTCGACTTCATTCAGGTTTCCCTTTATATGGTATGATGTTGCTAATTAAGAAAATATATTAACTTAATGTTGCAATGGCAATGCAAGCACTTTTCAAATTCAACAAATTAAACAAGTAACCCGTGGGGTGTATATTCTTTTTTTATGTAAACTTTTATTATGTGTAGTTCAATGTTTACTAACTTTATGTTCCTTCCTTTATCTATCACTTGCAGCTGGCGGTGTGGCGCACTCATTGTCCTGGTACCGCAAGGGCGACCGATATCCGGGCAGCAAGCTCTACGCCCGCACCTGGACACCCGAGGATCCCCGGGGGCCCCACTCGCAGCCCCTGCCGCTGTACAACAACAGCAACTCGAATCAAAATCAAAACAGCAACCAGAGCAGCGACGATTTCAGCGGAAGTGCCGATATGTCCGATCCGGGAGCAACGGCCAGTATTTTTAGCAGCGGCAGTGGAATGTGAATTGTGCACTTCAGGATCCCGGAAAGATCTGAGGACAGTCAGAGAGAATGAGATTCAATGGAAATCCTACTAGTCAAGCCTTGCTAGTCATGGCATCTAACACATATTAACCAACTTAATAATTATATGAGGAAAACATGTTCTGTGGTATTTAATTGCTCTAAGTTCGCTAATATCTAAATGTTATACATAGTGGTTTAGTTTAAATCGAATAAACATTTCACACAAATCTACTCAACAATATCTAATTGCAGTTCAAGCGACGAGGGCAAAAGGAACAATTGGAGGATAAATTATATAGTTATCAGCACGAGCGTGTATTGAACACCTGGCCCTGGTTGTCCTCGTGGCCTCTGCACCCTGCCATTGTCGATATCATTAAAAAAGAGGGACAACGGGCGAACAGACAAATATCATAAAGTACAAGTGCAGTTCGTGGGGGTGGGTGTAAATTGTACACTCTAAGAAAAACGCTATAATTAATCTAAAAATCAATTGATCTTACGAAGCTATGTTTTGTATCTGCAACAAAAAAAATGGCATATGTCAATTTGGATTCTTGGTTATATTAATTAAAGTGGAGAATCAGTTAGCATTAAAGAGCTTGATCCTAAAAAGTAGGCATATAATGTTTTATATTTTCAATTCCTTTCTAAATATTCTAAACAATTTAAGGATTTTGGATGTGCATATTTTATAACTAAATTCTGTTTTAGTAATTATAAGTTCTTTAGTTTTTTCAATATTTTTTTCTTGTGTACGCTACGGTTTAAGAGGAAGCGCAACTAGAAAATTATTTCCGGTCTTCCGACATGCATGCCCACACGCTGGATAGAATTTTCTTTATAAAAAATGAGAAATTATTATTTTTAAGCGTTTTTATTTGGCGGAGTGAGCGTGCCATTTAAAACATCATTATGACTGTCAACCGTTGGAACGGGCAGATGGTGTCCGTTTGGCTGAGCAATTGAGATGTTTATCTGCAATTAGGATTAGCTCGTGGCAGGGGTGATTCAGCGATGACGTGATTGAACGTTCCGATTGTGAGCCGATCCAAGTTAATATCTCAATTCGATCGTATGTAAATGTATGCCTTCTGTTTAGTTTGCTGTGGTCAAAGATTTAATTAACTGTCGGCGGCAACAGCTGCACAGGGTTATCAAAATCTGATAAGAGGCTTTCTGAGGGCGTGTGTGTTGAGAAATTTGGAAATTCTGATTATTACTATTTGAATATATAGACAAATGAATTTATACACATGTTGTGATGCATATTTACGCCCTGCAATACCAGAATCATAAGCGGTTGTTTTAGGAATATTATGGACAACCATTTAAATTTATATTTATAAATATAAATGTTTTGTGTATTATAGTATTATAGTACGAAAAAATTTAATTTTTTTTCTCCAAGAGGCAAACATTTTCAACAATCTGTACATGCGCTCAAAACAAAGCCATTAGTAATGCTGATAACACTAGTTCACAAAATAATATTTATAAAGCCCTTCCCAGCAGTTAAATGCACTTTCTGTTATTGCTGGACGCCTGGATCATGAAAATGCCACTAACTTTTATTTCGATTGCACATTTTTTTGTAAATATTTCTTGAAAGTTCAATATGTTAAATTTCTGATTTTTTTTCAAATTTCTTTTTTGACGAACGCTGTTCAGCGGTTTTACTTTTATAAACATAAAGTCAAAATACTTTGAGTGATATTTTTATGAGTAAACATATATTTTTTGTGGTCTTTTAGCAATTTAATAATAATATCTGAAAGTATAAGACAAGAAGTAAATATATCGTTCCACATATTGAATATTTTGCGTGCTTCTCCTAATAAATGTTATGCTATTATTCTACTGGTTCCAGTTTGAGATTCGTCAGCTTTGTAGTGATAGAGTTTTTATAGTCTGTAAAATATTCCTCAACCTCGTTCCGGCAACTTAGCATGATATTCTTAAGACAGAGACTTATGGAAATCGGATCAGCATTGTTCAATCGATACGCTAGATGCTGCTTCAGGTGAGGCGCCAGTCCCAAGCGGGCCAGGATATCCAACTCATAGGAGTCGTAGTTGGGATGTTTCTCCGCAAGGAATTCAGAGCACTTCTCATAAATGTCCAGGCACTGCAAGGACTTCTTTTCGCTTTTCATAAAGCTCCGTAGCAGTTTACAAGCCTCCGAGTCTTGCATGGTCTTTTCGACGCTCTTTGACAGCGCGATAATCCTTTCTACCTCCGCCAATGTCATGCTCTCTACCAGCTCCTCAAAATGTTCCTATAGTTTTCGAAAATTAATGATTTGCTTACATTTTACTAATTGTATATAAACCTTTTTCGAATGGGAAGCCATGGCGTAAGTATTTAAACAAATGTATTTTAAAATTAGGAATAATCGTTTTAATGGTTGGGCAGTGCCTTTTATAGTCTCGATTTCAATGCTGCTTACTAAGCGCCCGAACCTTTATCTTTTAACTTTAAATCCGAAGTGGCAAACTCATTCTACTTCACATTCTTCATCACTGTAAATTGAATCACTAAACTATACGAACAAATGGAAAATGTTTAACGAAATGGGTGTATCCCAGAAATCTTCAATAGTTGCTTATTCTAGAAATCTGCAACATTTGTCCATATAAAATGCAAACAAAAAATCATGATTAACTTTTTTGTTATAATTTTTGAAAGACCGTGCCGTGAACAACCGGAAAATTTTATAAACCAAATTTGGTATTGAGATTTTCATTCCGTAGGCCCTTTAATTAAAGCGACCAATATCATATATTATCTAATATTATAAAGTTGTTGTACAAAAGTAATAGTCTGCTCCCGTAAGATACCCATTAAAATATGAACGTACTTGCCTTGTTTGAATTTTTCTTTCTTGGCGGGTAATTTTTGAAATTGGCAGCGCTGGTACTGCCAACCGCTCGGTAAAAATAGTGAATTGGCCAGTATTTTCGTGTTGTCAACACTGGAGCTGTTGGCACCCTGTGGGCCTGTTTTGTTCGAGTTTTTTTTGCCCAAGTATGGCGCACCCTGTGGGCCTGTTTTGTTCGAGTTTTTTTTGCCCAAGTATGGCGCACCCTGTGGGCCTGTTTTGTTCGAGTTTTTTTTGCCCAAGTATGGCGCGCCCTGTGGGCCTGTTTTGTTCGAGTTTTTTTTGCCCAAGTATGGCGCGCCCTGTGGGCCTGTTTTGTTCGAGTTTTTTTTGCGCAAGTTTGGCGCACCCTGTGGGCCTGTTTTCAGTTGCATTTCAAAATTTTAGCCGCGTAAATAAATGTAAAATTAATGTAAAAGCACTAGAAAAGTATAAACAATATACAACCCTAGTCAAAAGTATTTTCACAAATTTGAATGTTAACTGTACTCATATTTTGAACTTATAATATAAACATTTTGGCTCCTATGGAAAGAATACTTCAATTCCGTTTAAATGACACAAAAATTCTCTTAACCCATGAAGCACCTTTTGAAAAGTGAGCAAATTAGACAATTTTTTTTGAAAGTCAAATTTTCAACTTTTTTCCTGGGGCTTAAAACAAAAAAGTTTTGATGCGAAGTTGTTCCCCAATCAAAACTAATAATAACTGCAAAAAAAAAAAAATTCAAAATATTTTTCCTTGTATTTTTTATGATTTTTTGAAAATAGCTATTTAAGCCGCTTTTTCTTCCTTTTCATACAAAATTTTACTGAGATGTCTCCATTTAAAAAAATTATAAAAACATTTTTGTTTTAAGCCCCAGGAAAAAAGTTGAAAATTCTAATTTATAAAATTTGCTCACTTTTCAAAGGGGTCTTAATGGGCTAAGAACATTTTTGTGTCATTTTAACGGAAATGAAGTGCTCTTTCTATAGGTGCCAAAAGTTTATATTATAAGTTTAAAATATGAGTACAGTTAACATTTAAATACCCCCTGTAATACGTTTTATTAAATTTCTTATTTTATTAGTTCCATACATAAAAGTGTTAAAAAAATATCGATATATTGATATTTTGATATATTTTTGACATCCCTAGCGCACGCTTTGTTTCTAATTTGTTTTGTTTCTGAATTTTGGTAAAACCGTGCGTTGCCTTTTACTAAAAGGAAGTAGTTAAGTACACAATTGTTACGAGCGACTCATAATTATGCGGTACGCTCAGATAATTGTTGGTCCTGCCGGCAGTGGCAAGGTATGTCCAGTTTAACGGTTACTGTTTTGGCGCAGTATTCTAATCGGAACCCATCCTACCCAGTCGACGTACTGCAGCTTAATGCAGCAATATGCCATGGACTCGAAGCGAAATATCCAGGTGGTGAACCTAGATCCGGCGGCAGAGCACTTCAACTACAACCCACTGACGGATATCCGCGAGCTCATTCACCTGGACGATGCCATGGAAGACGAGGAGCTGCACTACGGACCAAATGGGGGCCTGATCTTTTGCCTGGAGTTCCTGATCGAGAACCAGGATTGGCTGAAGGAGCAGCTCTGCGGTGGAGAGGATGAGTTGATGGTGGGCGAGCCGGACGACGACTATATACTGTTCGACATGCCCGGTCAGATAGAACTGTTCACTCACCTGAAGATGGGCAAGCAGCTGGTGCAGCTGCTAGAGTCCTGGAATTTTCGCACCTGCGTCGTCTTCTGCTTGGACTCGCAGTTCATGGTTGACGGGGCCAAGTTTATATCCGGCACCATGGCCGCTCTCAGTGTGATGGCCAACATGGAACAGCCGCACGTCAACGTGCTGACCAAAGTAGATCTGCTAAGCAGCGAGGCGCGGAAGCAGCTGGAGATGTACCTGGAGCCAGACGCCCACAGTCTGATGGGGGAGCTGACCATAGGAACAGCGTTTGGCGAAAAATACGGCAAGCTCACAGAGGCTATTGGCTCGCTGATCGAGGATTTCAGGTGAGCTACTTTAAACGATAATGCCAGAGTTTCGAATTGTTAAACTGCCGTTATTGGTTGGGTCGGAACTTTCGTCGTCCACAGGTTAATCTAATACATAAACACCTTTTTGCAAGGTAAAAAACGACTACTTTATTCTTTTGATGTCATAGAAGCTAACATTTTAGCATTCAAATCAAGTTATGTTTATATTTCGACTTTTTCTGAATACCCGTCGTTTCCAACTGCTCTAATTTCTTAATTTTTACTCATACATTTCCACCGCTCTTGCTTTAAAATCAATTGAGATTTTTAAGTCTTGTTACGAAATTATTTTGGTTTAGCTGGTAACTACTTGGTATCACAAGGGGCCCACTAACCTAGTCGGAAATTTAAGAAGTTTCATGAAGGGGTCTGACTGTCGGTTGTAGTTTTTTTCTGTTGCAACCCCTGATTATTTCAAATCATATTCCACTTGAATATAAACCAAAAATAAAGTAAAAGACAAAGTACAATATAATTTGTATGATTATTTTACTAGCATCAAGATTGCATTACGAAAGATTTGCAGTTCTCCAAGTGAAATCATAAAATTTACATTTTTTTTCATGGTTCTGCTTAATATTTTACTTTTAATGATACATACGGGATCGATATAGGTAACTAATAAAAACTAAGGTTGATTGGTTAAAAGAAAACTTTAAATTGTTGTCAAAAAAGGTTATTTTTATAACTGTGTGCGAAAATATTTTAAATATGTGTTCACTCTTAAAAAAGTTTATAAGTTTATAAAAAAACATATTTTTTCTTTTTGATGTTAACATGGCGCGTTAGTATTCAACCTTTAAGCATGGGTTGCATTTTTTAAGACACACGTGAGTTCCAATTTTTTATTTCTTTATTTTAAGTGTTCAAATTTTTTCTTGCTTTACTGGTATAAGATTTAATTGAATTTGTCTTTATAATTCAAAAAACATATTTCCAAGTGTAGAACCCTTTTTATAAATCTATTTTAAGAGTGGAACAAACATGATTATTATTTATATCATATATATTCATACCTATATATATTTAATATTTTACATGAATTAAAAAGAAAGAAGGTTTTTTTTCTTCCCTAATTGAAAGGGTCTTAGATCTACTGCTTCAGGCTTTAGCCTTGCGTGTCGGGTGGAATGGGTGATCCATTTGTGACAAATCTGGAGGATTCTGCTCGAACGCACTAATCTCCTGCATTCCGCTGTTAGCAATCTCCCACAGCTGTGGGTATTCCTCCTTAAAGGTTTCGTACCACTTGTTAACCAACGGATACTGCTGCAAATCAAAATTAATTGCCTCCAAACAAATCGTGGCCGAGATGAGAGCGAAATCAGCAATGGTTATGTTATCGCCGGCCGCGTATTTCGTGCCCAGACGCTCCAAATATGTCTCGAACACCTCAAGTGCGTTCTGCACCTTCTTTAGCGACATGGGTGTACGCTCGTAGTCGAAGAAAATGGGTGCCATGCTGTGGGCTGAAATGGGGGCGTAGTAGAATCCCATGTTAAAGCACAGACGCTGATTAATTATCGCTCTCATGTTGACCTCCTGCGGATAGAGCGACGAATCCGGCGCGTATTTGTCGCAAAGATATTGCATAATGGCAATGCTTTCTGATAAATAAAAACCATCGTCGTCCAGCACGGGAATCTCCTTTTGCGGATTCATCTGAAAGATTTTTTTTATTTACATTTCTGACAATCTTAATGGCTCTTTAACTAGCACTTACCTTCGAATAGTCCTCAGAACGATGTTCCAAGGCGCAAAAGTCCACATTGATCAATTGATATTGTATATCCAAGGCCTTCAGGGTCATGCGAACGGCCAAAGAAGGCGGCCCATCGGATACGGCATACAGTTTCATGGTGTATATTGGTCTGTTGGTACAAAAAAACGTATTAGTTTTTGATTTGACTCTTGTTCGACCGGTTTTCTTTTTGCCACTAGCTTAAAAAGTGAGAGCAATTTGACTGTAGTGCCAATTTAAAAAAATATTTCTATTTTTGGTTTCACTTTTGCTTTGCCTATATTCAAATATGTATGTCTTTATTTATGTGTGTATCACCTAATGTCTGGTCTTTTTAAGATATATTGTTAGTACAAAATAATTTTAGACACACAGTTAATGAAGTGCGCTCGCGCAGCTTTCAAATGCTACTGATGTGCTTACTTTGCCAAGTTGCCAGATATTGCAGGTGTTCATTTCAATGACAATGCAAACAAGTTTTATTAGTAGCATTGTTAGATTCGATCTCCAAATACTCTTACTATCAAGTCTAGTCTCTTCGGGAACAAAACTTCATGCACCCACGTATTGTTATTGAACTAGTTTTTATGACAAATTTCTACCCATATACCAATAATTGGAAAAATTTGATGTTTTTCAAAGTGAATGGATGTTTTTAAAAAAGACATGTAGTGTTATTTGAAGCGTTTAGCATATTTGGGTTAATTTATTTTTTACAATAGGTAATTTTATGTTGGTTAAAAGAGAGGAAAATAAATTTATTAATTAAAAGAGAATAAAATGCTGTATTTCAAAGGAAAAGCGTGACTTTTACGGATGGTATACATACACAATAGATCCGTAGCCGTCGATATCATCAGCTACTTCCTCGACGACCTCAATGATGCCGTCTGTATTGTCCACCTCGACGTACTGATGGTCTCCCTCCAGGGCCATCTCTTCGCCCTCCTCTGCCTCCTGGTACTCCTCCTCATCGATGACAACATCCTCTTCATCATTTTGGGGCTGAACTTTGTGAGAAACGGATGCCGAGCTGCTATTATGATTGCCCGCCACTCGTGGCTTCTTGTGCACCACAATGTCACTGCTTATGTTAGATACATTGAGACGCTCGATGGCCAAGTCACCATACTCCTGCTGAATCTGATCCAAAGACTTTCCGATAAAGTGGAGGGGCCGGAACTTTAGCTTCTTGTTATTCTTTTTGTTGATCTCGTTGAAGAGTCTTCGCTTGATGTCATCCTCGCTAAATGGATGGCTGTGGCTGTTGTACACCCGAAGGACTCGAATGGAGCCATCCTTTTGGGTGGCAGTAGAGATGCGACTCTTGCAATTGATGTCTGGGTCGCGGCTCTTAATGCACACCCAATAGTTTCGTGAGATTACGCCTCGATTCTTGGCATGGTAAATATAGCCATCAACGCACAGGAGTTCGTGCCCCTTGGCAGACCTTAGGGTGCAGATCTTGGTGAGATCCATGTCCGGCTGAGCGCCCTTTGTCTGCTCCACTACATCGCGTCGCCGGCGGACATTTGTGATCTCGGGCTGTCGCACTTTTGGTAAAGGCGTGGATGAGTAAGCTGCGTGAGACTGATGGCCCAGCTCCTCCAGTGCGTCCGGCAGTATCTCGATCTTAGCACTAATATTGTCCGCGCCGTCCTTGAGGTACTGCACAATCATATTTGCCTTGGATTCGGGTTCCATTTTTATGGCACCATCGATGCTAATCACCTTCTTCATCACCACATTTCTTGTATCGATGTGCTCGTAGCTCTCATCGACGCTCTGCTGTTCGAAGGTGTCTGCTCCCTGGCTGGCCGATCCCTCGTCGCTTTCGAAACTATTATCTTCGCCAAGTTCGCCCTTGGACAGCTTTTGCGGATGCTCCTGGTCCAGCTTGACCTGCTGCTTGAGCCGCCGAGCAATTTCCTTCATATCCGGATTGTGCGTGTGCTCGCCGTTGATTCTGATTACTATTGGTCCGTCCTCAGCTGGATCCATGGTAATGCGGACGTGACAAGTGTTGACCTTGTCACGTCGGTTTATGCAAGTGAAGAACATGTGGCCGTTGGACCTGCTTTGGGAGTCAAAGTGATATAGATGCTGACTCAAGCACAGTACCTTACGGCCCTTGGCCGAGGGAAGAAACGTGAACTTGGTCAAGTCCGTCTCCAAGAGAGGATTATAGCCCGGCGGAGCGAGATAGTTGGCAATTACATCAAATGCCATTGGCCACTTTTTGTTGTCGTCCAGTTTTGGATCGACCAGGGAAGAGTCCTCCATCTCTTCCTGGCCCTCGACCTCTTCGTCGCCGTGAATGTGTCCGCCTTGAATCTCTCCGCCTTGGTCGTCATCCGTTCTTACGTACACATCGTAGTTATCCTCGCACTCCTCGATTATAATGGATTCCAAGTCATCGCACCGCTGGGATGTTTGGAAAGAGCTTTCGGGATCGAAGTACTCAAGATTGGGGCATTCTGCCAGCACATCCGAGGTCTGTTCGTCCTCCACCAGAACGATCTGGTGCTTGGAAAACATGTGCATCAGCTTGGCGGCCGAGTAGTGCGGATGGATGTGGGCATCGGAGTCAACGGCGTGCAGTCGATGTGCTCCTGCCAAAGTCGCCTCCGTGCAGATTCTAGCCGTGCACTCGATGTCACGCTTCCGCACACAGGTCCATCGGAAAATGTCACCTTTGTAAGACTTTCCGGCCAGGTAGTAAAGGTGCCCGTCGATGCAAACCATAACGCGACCATCGCGGCGTCGCAGCATATACACACGGTCCTTGTCCTGCGAGAAATAGGTATATGTCAGTAGTTTTTTGGGCTTAGGATTCTCTATGTTTAGTTATCATTAAACTAAAATTAATTACTACTTGAAATGCCCGACTATTTACAGCTTTAAAAAAAGTTAGGAACGTTCTTTACATTTTTCCTTTCATTATATATGTCAGTAGTTTCTTCGGCCTAGGATTCTCTATGTTCAGTTATTATTTAACTTAAATAATTACTACTTGAAATGCCCGACTATTTACAGCTTAAAAAAAAGTTAGGAACGTTCTTTACATTTTTCCTTTCATTATATTCTTAACGTATTCCCATATCCGTTAAGTTGCTCATTCCTGTATTGAAAATTTGAAAACTATCAAAGAAATACCAAATATTGGATAAAGGTAACCGCATAGTATTTTTATAAGTCCTTGAATGACTAAAAATTGGTATTTAAAATCCTTTATGCGGGCTTTCAAGACGACTTTTCAGTTAGGTTTTGGCTCATTTAAATTGAATGGGAAAATAAAAAAAAAAATTATTGTACAACCTAATGAAAACGGGATTATATGCGATAAAAGTGGTATCTAAACCAAAATATGCTTTCTTTATCCTAGAAAATCACAGTAATCAAGGTTGTTCGGGGGTATTAATTAAAATTGTAACTGTTTCTATATTAGGGGATAATAATCCGACGGAGGATTTGCATACGCATAAAGATAGATTCAGGGGCATAGGCCAGGTACAGTCGGACTGCTGTCGTACCTCAAAGTCCAATTGGAAGGAGGCCTCCACGGCGGAGGCGTCGATGCCTCCGTAGATGAACTCCGGCGGATTCATGCCGGCGTTGGCCCGCTCGTACTGGCGGGCTCTCTTCGGCTGGGTGGTGCTGTAGGCGTCGTTCATCATCATCACCGAGAGCCGCTTGCGCTGGGCCACCTTGTTGACCTCGTGATCGCTGCAGCGCGGATGGATGTGGGCCAGAACCACGTCCACGACGACGTGGCGGGTCTTGTCCAGCGGATCGGGCAGCAAGGTGCAGATGCGGGACTTGCAGGGGGTGGCCTTGTCCTTGCGTCTGTTGCACAGCCAGCGGTAGGTGTTGTTCCGCCCGATGCGATCGAAGTGGTACAGATAGTCGTCCACGCAGAGCATATCCACGCCCTTGGCGGACCGCACCACGGACACCTTGGACAGGTCCATGCCGTGCTCCTCGACAGGCGTCTCCATTTTTGAATTCCTGCGGTGTTTTGCCCGTGCCCGGAATTCAGCGTTTTTCGATTTGCACCCGAAAAGTGTTTTGTATCGTAAATTAGGCGATTTTTGTAGCTGCTGGCTGCCTGGGATTTGTTGGTTGGGATTTTTGGTGGTATTTCGTCAGCTCACTATTTGCGCGCGTTTTTGCAAATGCGCCACAATTACCGCATATGCACTAATTCCTTGCAGTTGGGTGCACCGAATATGGGTTATTTTTAGTTTTTCCGTCTAATTTTAATTGCACAAGCACATTTTCTTTTGCGACGCGTCGAAAAATGCTTTTGTGTGGGATACGAGGGCTGCGAGCGACGCGGCGGAGTTGCCACCTGACAAAATTTGTTTGTTGTTTTTTATTTGAAAATGTTAATGAATTTAAATATTATTCCTTGCAGTTTGGTGAGATTTTTCCCGTTGGATTCCCAGGACGAGGAGAGCGTGGGCGACCTTTTGCTGCAAATTGACAGTATTTTGCAGTACGGCGAGGATGCCGACGTGAATGTCAAGGACTTTGATGAGCCGGAGGAAGCGGATCGGGATATATAGTTTCCATAAATATTACGCCTTAAACCATTAATGTTTGTAATATAGTCTATTTTAAATAAAAATTACTTGTATATATGATTTTCAAAAGCAGTCATCATCCCTGGTTGCAGAGTTGCCAGATCTGCAGTGTTGGACAACTGCTGTCATAATTTTAAATTCCGCTACGCGTACAGCGTCCAAACAAAAGGAATCTTCGAGCAAATCAATGTGAGGTAGGAATGCAGCAGAGCGGCGAAAGTCCCATTGGAACGGCCTTCAGCCAGGAGGCCATCACGCAGCGCCTGGCGGCACTTAGTCGCTGGCAGGACGAGCAGAAGCGGCTGCTGCAGGAGCGTCAAAGCAATCAGCGCGTTCTGCTCGGCCTGGAACAGCGCAATATGTACAAAATGCTGGGACTGCTCCACCAGGAGGCGCAAAGCCGGGAGAACAGTGTGCTGGAGGAGTCGCAGTGGGACGAGGATCACTCCATACAAATGCCACGGCTAGCGGCTGATCAGGACGAGCAGGAGTTGGAGCAGGAGGTTCCTCTGGTCAGTCCCCAGCCGACCAGACCCAAGCGTCCTTTCCTGCGTCGTGGCGAAGGTCTAAAGCAGCGCTTTAAGATCAATCCCGACCAGCTGCGTCTGGAGAACCTGCCGCGTTACAAGTACGCCAATGCTCACCCACAATTCCGGACGCCCCAGCTGAAGAAGGGCATCCTCAAGAAAAGCGAGTCACCACCAGCTGCCGCCCCTGCTCCAGTTCCCAAGCCTCCAGCACAACTTGATCTCAACGAACAGCGCTTCCAGCAGGTGCTAATCAACTCCAAGAACGTCTGCAGCTCCACGCCGGATCTCAAGTCTTCCTACGCCTCCTCCACCACTGCCTCCAGCATCTCGCCAAGAGTTCGTTTCGTGGAGCAGAAGGGCAAAGCCGGACCAACCAGTCATGCCGACGATGAAGCCTCCTCGGAGGCCAGTCCCTTGCAAGGAGTTTGCTGGGCCAAGGTGTTGGACACACAAGCAATTAAGCCAGCTCAAATCCAAAGACGCTCAGCTCAAATCCGAGTGGAGGATGACAGCAATGTAAGCATATTCGAGCTACTCGAGCAGAAGGCCACTGAGGGCAACTTTGACATGAACTCCAGCTGCATTCGCACCTTCATGGCTCGCAAGGATCAGCGCCGTGGCCTGGCTGATGACTCTGATCATATCGTGGTCACGCAGCAGGTGCGTCAGATGCGTTTGCAGCCGCATGTGGACCAAGTGCAGATCCACGAGCTGGAGGAGGACGAAGAGGAGGATGAACAGCAGTCCAGCGACCAGACCTTGACAGCGACACCCATTCAGGTGGGAAAAGCACAAGTGCGAGTGCGCTTCTCCGACTCCAATGACACCAACGAATACTCCGATGCAACGAGTCTCAACGACGGATCCAATATTCAGCTCTTCGAACAGTTCAAGTCCGCTCTCTTCCAGGCCTTGGAACAGAAGAAGAAGTCAAGTCCCAGTCAGCAACCAGAGGAACCCCTGACACAGGAGCTTCAGGAGAAGGCCAATCTAGTTCGGACTCGTCTCGAGGAACTTGAGACCGAGATAGCGACCTTTAAGGCGCAGAATGCTCAGCTACTTCGCCTCAAGCAGCAGCACGAGTTGGATCAGGCCAAGTGCACACAGGATCACATGGAGGCCATGGAACGCGTCCACGACGAAAAGATTCAGGCGGAAATCTACCTGCACGACGAGCGCATGAAGATCGAGGAGGAGCGCCGCAAATTCGAGCAGCAGATGCGACTCCAGAAGGGCAATGCGAACACAAAGGAGAAAAAGGAGATAGCCGCCTTGAAACAGGAGGTGGAGGCACTGCAGCTGCAGCTCAAGCAGAAGGAGCAGACGCACGTCTCGGCACAGGCCCGCCTCCGAGCACAACTGCGGGCCAGTGAGAAGGAGCAGCGCAACTACAGGGACGAAATCGAACTGCTGAGCAGGGAAAACAAGCGACTGGAGCACGAGCTGGTCAAGATTGGCCGTGAGAACAACAGCAAGATGCTGCAGGAGATCAACCGAAACATTGCCCGGCTGGCACCCAAGGTGGTGAGTATGGGAAAAAGTAGTAAATCTTGTATTCAGCGGAATTTAACTAATATCTTCTTTTAGCTGCCCTCTACCTCTGCGTCCCAAGTCCTCGATGAGAACGGGCGCCGCGCTCAGTCCTTGGATGGCACTGCTGGAAAGGCTGTCAAGCAGAGAGAACCGCCAAATCGTCGCCAGAGCAGCGGGAGTGCCCAAGTGAGAAGTCGCAGTCGCTCCCTGGGCAGAAACAAGAAAAAGCCGGAGGCTTTGGATGAGAGTTTTGCCTCCAGTAGCTCTGGAGACGTAGAAGAAGTCCTGGCACCGGTGAAAACCAAAGACGATAGCCCACCGGCTGCCGCCAACTGCAGCAGCGACTTTAAGCGGGAGATTATGAATGCGGATGGCAGCAAGGACATTTGGTATCCCAATGGCAATCTGAAGAAGATAAGCGCCGATGGCATGAACGTTCGCATGCTGTACTTCAACAAGGACATAAAGGAGACTGACATCAGGGAGGGCACCGTGAAGTATTACTACGCTGAGACCAATACCTGGCACACCTCCTACCTGGATGGTTTGGAAATTCTCGAGTTTCCCAACGGACAGACCGAACATCGCCGCAAGGACGGCACTATCGAGATCCACTTTCCCAACAACAGCATCAAGGTGGTGGATCCCAGCGATGCAGAGAAACTGGAGGAGTGGCGTTATGCGGATGGAACCCACCTAGTGCAGCTACGGAACGGTGACAAGATTCTGAATCTACCCAATGGCCAAAAGGAGATTCACACGAAGCTGAACAAACGACGAGAATACCCGGATGGCACTGTCAAGCTGGTCTATCCGGATGGCAGCCAAGAGACGCGCTACTCCAACGGTCGCGTTCGCTTAAAGGACAAGGAGGGAAAGCTCATCATGGACACAGACTATGCAAAGTATTAGAGGCGTGCCTGTTTCCGTTGTGAATTATAGTTTTTAAATAAATAGAAAAGTCGCACTGTTTTGATAACTCTATGATCAGAAGTAGCTTGCAAATGTTGGGGTGTTAATTTGGAGATTTATTGATATATCATGTATTATTGATATATCTGGCCAAAACTTGGCTTTGGTCAAGGAAATAACAACTATATAGTATCTTCTGTACTGCAATCTATATTGCATTCACCTTCTCATTGCATAGAGAAATAACCTTTTATTTACATTACCAATAATTATTTAATTTAAAGGAACTGTTTATTTGTACTTTTATAAATCGTTATGTTAGACACAGTCTACAAAATATATTTCACTTTATTTTAACTTGTTTTTAAGTAAAATAAGTAAATTAACAAAAGCGCACTTCTCTATTAAATCAAACGAACAAATTAGGAAATATTCAAATATTTTGTTAGTTTTTTTAAGCGACTGCAGATCCTACTGCTCCGCATTTACCCCCTCCTGGGCCATGGTCAGGTGGTGATCGAAGATCTTGGGATGCTGGTTGAGCAGCTTTGAGGCGAACTGCACGATCTGCTCGAAGGTGAACTCCGCCTTGGCTCGCGGTCCCCAAAGGAAGAAGGTCTTGGGGTCGTCGTAGGCGCTCAGTTGGGAGCGCTCCCGCTTAAGGTACTGCTGCTTCACGAATGTCTCGTCGATCTGCTTGCGCGGATTGGCGCCAAAATAGCCGTGCTCCTCGTCCTGGATATTTAGCATCTCCAACATGCCGTACAGCTTCGTGTCCTCGATGCGGTTGCCGCGCAGGAAGATGTACATGAGGATAATGTACAGCAGCGTGAACTGGGGTCGTTGTGCCGGAGTCAGCTCGTGAATGGAGGCCACCGGCTCCTCCGCAATGCAAATGAACGTCTTGGATGCCGCATCCAGCGGGGTAAGCAAAATTCCGAAACGCTTGGCCAGCAATTCAGCTACCAGCGGCAGACGCTTCTTCAGCTCGTTCCGGTCGCCAGCCGCCGGCACCAAATCCTTGTCCTTGATGGGAATCTTCTGGGCTGTGTGATCGAGGATGTACGCTAAAATGCCGCGAACCTTGTCGTCCACCTCTCGAATTGGTTGTTGTGTTGCCTGGGAATGACTGACATTCTGGCTTCTTGCTGCACGGGAAGTGCTGGCCATATTCGTATTCTTTAATATTCTTTTAATAGCTTTAAATGGTCTTAGTTTTAAAATAATTCGAAATTCGACTTAAATATTGCTCAAATCAAAAAACGAAGTTTTCAACACTATTAAAACGATAGAGATGAAACATAAACGATAACGTGGTGGGTGTATTCGCTAAAAGTGGAGGGTGTCACCGCTACATATTAATAAAATCGATATTTTTCAACATTCGTTAATCGAATTGGCGCCAATTCAAAATCAACAATTTGATTTGGTACTTACAATCGTCAGTTATTCGGTATTAAAATACCAGTACCAAATAACTTAATTTTTCAAAATGAGAATTGCTATTATTAGATCAATTGCACATTAAGCTTGTCCTATTTTTATTATTTCGCATTTGATGGCGTCTTTTATGCCTTTTCAAGTGCAAATGGCCACTCAATGAGCTCGTTTAAACGCACAAACTGGGCCAAGAGCAGCTGAAGTGTCGTCTTCAGTGGATTAGTATTGATTGATTTCCTTGCGCTGGCGGCCCTTTCTTTTCAGACATTCAGTACAATTTCTGCGCCGAGTCGAAAAGTTCGTAAATTTAATATTCTACTATTTATTGAGCAGCTCAGCAGTCAAAGCAATTTTACATATAAATTGGTAGGAGCCTCAAGAGGTGATGTGTTTTTAATTAAAATGGAAAAATCGCCGCGACGTGAAGCAGCAGGAAGCAAACAACTTTCAAAACTAAATGCGAATGACATGCACGGTCAACATTCCCCACGGAGACTCAAAATAAACAGAGACCGGGCCAAACAAAACGAAATGGAAATGCATTTTGTGCAGACACACGCGCAGGAGTGCACTTCCAGACGTTGGAGAATTACATGGCCAAACATATTTTATTGCCTTGAAATGTGTGTTTTAGGTGGCTGCGGTGAAAACTAGTTACCTGCGTCTGCGCAAAGTGCTCGAGCCATAGGTGATAAACGTACAGGCGGAAGGATGACAAAAGTTGACTGGCCAGGCGGCAAGCTTTAATTGATTTGCCATTGTTCCGGCCTAAACAAAAGCCGAATATCAGAGTTCAGAAATTTATGAGAGCCTTTTGTTGTTCCGAAATGGATATCCGCCGCCTTCTGCACTCCTTTCTGCCCGACCAGTGACTCTAATAGCCCCAGAATTTGCATGCCAACAAGTGAAATGTCTCGAAATTCGCAGAAACCGCGAGTGAGTGAGTCAACAAAACGCATTGTCAACGCCTCGACTTTGACTTTCTACACACAGGCAAACGGTTTTGCTTTCAAAATCAGCATTGTAACGTGGAGTTTGTCAACTCCATCCCTAACTTTTTTATGGCCAGCTAATTGTAGCCAGACGGAGTCGGAGAAATGTTTCATTTACCAAAAAGAAAGTCAAGGTCTTTGCTGAGCGACGTGAGCGGCGAACTTGCTTTGCAACTTCGGCGTTTAGGGGCCATAAAAAATTAGCAAATGACATGAGCATGCCATTTAGAATTTTCATGATAAACAAAAACCCATGACCAGCCAATAGAGTAGCGACAACGGGTTTTTCTGCTCACCGTGGTGGCAAAAACTATTAATAAATTAATAACAGAATCACAAGAGAAGGCAGCAAAAAAAAATGTGTGCACAAAAAAGAAAGCCAACCAAGGAATGTGGAGAGACCAATGCGCTATAAGATTTGGGTTTATTGGTTATCGAATAAATTCCAGATGTTGATATAATATCAGCAACCAACAATATTGCTGATATTTAATATATCATATATATATAATATATTTAAAAAAAATATTTATAAATGCTCATTAAATGTATATCTCTAAATATTTTATTTAAGAATATAAGATTCATATTTAAAGTATTTATTCATATGTTTTATAATATTTTATATATTTTTTATTCTTTTAATCACAAAAAGAGGTTACAAAATCAATCAAAGAGCCCTCATATTTATAGAAACCACCCAAGTTTATTACCTCATACTAACAGTTCCTGATTTGTATACATTTTTGCTGTCCCGCATACTTTTTTTTCTGTGTAGCTGGTTTAACAAATATTTAATTTATTTCTTAGCAAATTTAGTTGTTACAACCTCTTTTAGTGAACTGATAACCCCGATTTCGGTTGTGCTGGAACGGAATCGAGAATATGGCAACAAAAGCCGGCTATTGTTGATTCAGTCAAGTTGCGTGCTGTTCTTAAAAGTGGACTGCCTTCAGAGCGAGCGGTTTGGCATTTTTGTTTAACAGCTGCCGCTCGTGGTCGATCTGGCCGATCGCCTTTAACTCGGGACCGGCAATTCGATTAGATTATGATTTGCGCCTCTCTCAGAACGACCAGTTATCCGTTAAATGTCAATGGGACTCGAGCTCACAATTAAGAACTTGGCAATAATAGTGGTTAGCTATCTTGCCGCTAAAGTTCAGTTCTCGAACAAAAGACTTGGACAACAAACTTGTTCAGCAGATGTCGCCGACTGCTTAATTAAGAGGTCAAATTGGTACACCCAGGCCATGGCCCAAAATAAAGCTGCTTTTCGACCTTTAACAGTTAATAAATTTCGATCCAAACTAGACGCCAGCCCCTGATAATCAAATTAAACGCTTATCAGTCAGTTAGCCAAACGGCTGCAACAATCGTCGCAATTAAAGTCAGACAAATGAGCAGTGACTCGACTTCACTTGGGGGCCAAGTTCACTCGTGCATGCCTAATCGCGTATACGCACCGTGTGACGACATCGAACTGCGGGGGACTTTAATAAATGGTTTGCATTTGTATAAAGTTAACTGATGGCTAAGCGGATCTAAAGTTTATGAGGTTTTATATTGCTCAATGAACGTTGCTTTTGTGCCTTCTAACATTCCTTCAAGAGCAACAGGATTCCACCGATCGGAAGAGAAACAATTCATTATCATATCTGAATTACTAAGCTGCATTCGTTTCTATTTGAATAATATATTCGCAAATAAATATTTTTCAAGGTCGATGTATATTTGTTTGTTTGCACCTTTCTGGGTCTTCAACTTGATCTTTTCGCTGCCTTTAAGTTTCGCCTTCGTGTGTTTTTATTGCTCTCAAGATTCACAATCTCTCATTCGGCCGGCCATTCTAAATGGTTTATTAATTTTATAGCCCGTTTTTCGATGACTTTGAAGTGGCCAGCATATCTCAAATTCACGAACAAAACCCACATCACCTTAACGTTTGTATAAGCATTTAATAATTATTAATTATATCAAAATAGCCATGCCGTTTTGTAAACAATTAAGCGTTAAATTCAGTGTCTGAGGCCGGACAAGTTGGTCAAAATTAATGGCGTTTCGGCTGACGCTTGAAAAATGCCCATCTAATGAGTCATTTAAGGCACTTAAAAAATACGCGTAATTCTCCACGCCAGCCAAATGCTAAATAGTTCGTACGGTATCCGGCACGGTCTTAAAGTTAATAAAATGTCAATTAGGTTTTTCTGGAACACACGATGTTGGTGACGTTTTCGCCTTGTGAAGGTCGATCAACAGCTTTTTAGCAACCGTATCACATGAGCCGAAATGTGAATCACATTTTCGCATTTTGTATGCAGTCGACGACTTTGTCGCAACAGCCTTGAGCTCCATGCAATTTGCATGAGAGAGTGCCAAAAAACAACAATAACCAATAAATAGTTGCATAAATCGCGGCCGGCTTCCTGTGTGAAAAACTTTCACAAGCCATTTGCCAAAAGGCACAAATTTATTATAATTATTATTGAGCTTGGTGTCATGTTATACATGCATCAATTTAATGGCTTTTGCTACGCCGAAAAACAGTGGTTGCCTAAGTCGAACGATCGTGAGAAGATCTGCAGTCCGAAGTCATGGTCATGGTCAGGTGGGGCTGATTGACTGGCCAGTGTGTCAACGACTCGGTTTATTTCAAAGTTTATTTCTCGTTGAATTTATACATTCCAACGATAGAATTCTTATCATTAAAAATGATTTATGTGCCACAAAAAAGGTGTTAATTCTGGAACCAAAAGTAAGCGACTGACTGGGAATATTTAAAATAATTGGCTATCAATAATTATGGAATTATAATTCAGTCGATGTTAAACAAGTTCTGTTAATTTATAAATTAGCCGGGTTTTTTTTTAAGATGATTTATTTAAATATTCTTCTTACGCAAGACTAAAATATACTCTTTATAAATTAAAGATCTCTAAAGATCTCTCATGGAATGCATTTAAAATCTATAATAACTTTTGCTCATCCCTGAAACAAAAACCCAAAATTCCTTGAAATATTATAAATCCTTATTGAATAGAAGTTTTTGTTTGTAATAAAATAAGACTAACACAGTTAAGCTACTTATTTGATCACTAATTTCAATTTATGTTTTTTTAAACAAAAGTCGTAATTTGTTCATAAAACTTCTGAAGCGAACCGAAGGTCAAAAAATAAATTTACTGTCGCAAAGAATTCCCAGGGAAACCTTTTGAGTCACGAGTCGAATATTCAAAGAAATTCTGTTAAGCCAATTTAAATCCCGGCAGAGAAGATTATGCAGCACATATGATGTCATGTCTTCGAAATGAAGTTTCGGTTATTTTTGAGCTTGAGCTTGGGTTTTGTTTTCTGGTTGTTTATCAGCATCTGGGTATCGGTTCGGCAGGCGCAGCGGCCTTTTTGAACGCATTTCATTAGCGGCCATATAGGTATGTATATGCATACCTATGTGCTTATGTGCAGGCTTTGGGTATATTATATGGGTATAGTTGTCTGAGCGGTGTCTGCACTCGCAACCGGTGTGGCTGTCTTCGCACCGGCTTGCCTTTTGTTTGCTTTGTATATATAAAACATATAGCCGTATATATCTCTCCGTCGGCCCAAACGAGTCTGCATTTAAATGCATTTTGTGTATATATTACACGCTGCATGTGCATGTGGATTTGTTTTACTTTTACTTTCATATGCAACTGGTTGCTGGCTGCTAAAATGGGGAAGTGCTGCACGAGTGTGGGCTTT